GGGGGGTGCGAGCGCGGGGCGGCGGTGGGGAAAGTGGTCCTACCTGGAGGGTTAGGTGCTGGTACTCGGCAGGGTAAATAGCACCTCAGGCGTAGATAAAGAAAAATTGAATTTATTTAAGGAAGGGGTGGGAGATGGGGAAATGCAAAGGGAAGGGCACACAGCACCGAGTCAAGGGGACTGGGTCCATGGTGGCAGCAAAAATATTCTTGGGACAGTGAAACCAGGAGGAACAGAGAGGACAGGAGAGCCTCACGGAGCCGTCAGAGAGGGAAGGGGGCCCTGGAGACAGGCTCGGGGGGCAGGGGGGCGGCTGCTGCCCATGGCCAGCTTCCCCTGGTTGCTGGGATCCCCTGCCAGGGAAGAAGGGGAAGGAGAGGGCCCTGGTGTGCTCCCTGGGGCGGGAGGAGGGAGGAGGGCAAGCTGAGGCCTTTGTCCCCAGCCTGTTTATCTCTTTCTTAAAGATGGAAATCTTAGGGGAGGTTTCAGGGGAGTTTCAAAAAATTTTTAAATATATCTTTATTGATTTCAGAGAGAGGGAGGGAGAGAGAGAGAGAAACATCAATGATGAGAAAGTTGTCGCTGATCGGCTGCCTCCTGCACACCCCCAACTGGGGATCGCAGGCAACCCTGCAGTGCCCTGACTGGGCATCAAACCAGGATCTCCTGGATCCTAGGTCAATGCTCAACCGCGGAGCCACACCCAGCCGGGCTCAGGGGAGTTTCTTAATAGAATATTCATCAGCTCTCAGGTGCTCTTTCCTGGTCATGGTCCCCACTGATTGGTCAGTGCCAGGGCAGGGGGTCAGTAGTCAGTGTATCTGGTCCTGAGGCAGCCAAGGTGCCACTTGTCTGGTTTCCCTGCTTTTCTGGGCCTGGAGCTGAAATACAACTGAGGCCTAGATGTTATCTTTAGGGAGGACCGCTCGGGGGTCTAACCCGTATGACCAATGATTTGCTAGGGGAAGAGAGATTACCCTGGGGACAAGTTTTTTGTTTTCCCAGTTTGGTCCCTTGCTAGGTATCCAGGGCTTCCTGCCCTGCTGAGTTTCTGCACCTGGCCCATCTAACCATAAATACCTTCAGAAAAAGTCTCAGTATTAATAAGTAGTGGTAATTCTGGTTCATTTAGCCCAGGTATTACAATCATGAACTACATCAGATATGAGTTGGAGAAACAGTTGAGTAGGAAGTTCTTAGTACATGTGCTCCCGTAGTTCCTCGTATCTAGCAGTTCAAATGTAGCACATGATCAAATTTTTTTTCCTTATTTAAGGATGCAGTCAAGTCTGAAAACATTTCACAGCAGTTAATTTGAGCTCACTCAAACTTTAAGTGACTAATACAAATCTTAGGTGTTTTAGGACAATAGGAACTGCAAAACCGTATCTTAATCAATGTCAATGGGAATGGATATTTGGAGTAGGAAAAACAGATTTAAGTTAATGTAGTAAAAAAAACACTTCATGAGAAAGTGGACATTTAGGGTACAATAATTTTAAACTGTTTTTTTTAAAAAAATCTATCTATACCTATTTCTTTTATTTAAGGTTTTCATGGGCTCACCTCAGCACCAATAACCACTTATAGTATTACCTCTATGGGAAAACACATTCCATGTTGTAAACAGTTAATCTACAAATAAACTCTTCAGACGTGGTTCGTTTGTAGCCAGTAGGAGATCAGGGACAGGACTCAGGGGAAGTGTAAGAACAAGTATGAGGGTTAATGCAAGAAGTTTGGCAAAAAATAAAATAAAACACACACACACAAGAAGTTGGCAATGCAAAAAGAAAAAGCATCGCAGGCTATTAAACTGGCAAGTTTTAAGTGAGTGAACATACGAGTGCATGTATTTTCCAGATATGTTCTAAAATTTCTAACTCCTTAATTTTCCTATACCTTGATCTTTGGAATCCTCTAGTGGTCATATCAGGAACTGTGTTTTGGGTGAACCTATTAAATGCTTTTAATTTTCAAATTCATTTAAAAGATAAAGATATTATATGTTATTACATGTAAAAAACCATTAGAAGTGTGCTTTTCTGTCTTAAATTTAAGATAGCAAAATAAGCACATGCATCTGCCTCTCTCCTTTCTCAGCAGCTCGGAGACATGGCAGGAAAGTGTTGAAAGCAATGAATCCGTCACAAGATCGGAGAGAAGGCAGTTGGCCAGAGACTAGAAACTCTAGAAACAGAAAGTTGAGGGAACCATACTAATTGGCTTTCCTATCATTTCTAAAACATGCCAGGAAAGAGGTGAAGACATAAGCTGGTGAAGCCCTAGCGAGGCTCCAAGAACCAAATAAAGCAACATAAAGGGAAGGAGTGGATTAAGTAGCAACTTGAGTAACCGATTAGAATAGGCAGTTGGCCCCCTTTCAGGAGCGGCCCTCAGTAGAAACAAGCGTCCACGACTGCAGCATCGGCTCTGCCTGGCACCTAACGGTATAGACTCTACAGGGCTGAGCTGTCCCTGCGGAGTGGCAATCTTATTGCGGGGGCCTGGGACTGACACCTGATGTGACGGGCTACAGACAGTCTCAGGACGATGGCTGTGAATGGATGGTGCCGTTAGGTAGACAGCGGAAGAGCCACCAATAACATGCTCACCTTTCGATTTACTTTTGGAAAACTCAACATCTTTTTTCACGTTTCATAGACTTTCTGATATAAAATTTCTTTTGAAACAGGTGTATTATTTTTACTTGGTAGGGGGTATAAATTCAGGAAGTGTACAATTTACTTTATAAAAAGTGGCATAACATTTTATCTGAAGCGGGTTGGCCCATGGACTTTTTCATTAATCTTATAAGCAATAAGTGTTTAAATGGTTCAATCTATGTAAACATCAATCTGGCCTATTACCGTATTTCTTTTTTTATTGAACTTATTGGGGTGAAATTGGTAATAAAATGACTTATGTTTCAGGTGTACAGTTCTATAACACATTACCTGTGTATTGTACTGTGTGTTCACCACCCCAAGTCAAGTCTCGCTCCATCACCATTTACCCCCCCTTTACTCTCTTCTACTTGCTCCCCCCTATTTCCCTCTGGTAATCACCACACTGTTGTCTGTGTCCATGAATTTGTTTGTTTGTTTATTGCTTAATCCCTTCACCTTTTTACCTTTTCTTAAAAAAAAAAAAGTTTAAACGTTAAAATGCCAATTTGCACAGTCACCTAATAAAAACAATAGTCTCAGAATAACAACAGTACTAAATGTGAAACCTTATTGAGAAAAAAATCAAACAGGTGAGGTTGGTGAAGAAAAAAATAATAAAGGAGCATGTAAAATTCCCACTATGATGGGACGCAGCAATTGCACTTCTAGGAATTTATACCGTGAAGAATGTGAGAGGCAAATAGCTACACAGTGAGTATCTCCTTGTTACTTTCTATTCTAGTACAGCAGGGTTAGCAAGCCTTTTCTGTAACAGCCAGAGAATACATGTTTTAGAGTTTGCAAGGCAGGCAGTCTGCTGCAACTACTCAACTCTGCAGTTGTAGCCTGGAAGCAGCTGTGGCTGTATCTAGGA